GCCCCGCATGGGGCTCTCTGCCCAGTAGGGAGCCTGCTTCTCCTTCTTCCTCTGCCTATGGCTCTGCCTACTTGTGCTATTAAATAAATAAAGTCTTCAAAAAAAAAAAAAACAAAAAAATCAAGCCAAAGACTCCATTGAGCATTTCATGCTCTTCTCATCAACGCTTTCCTACTAAAAACTAGCCTTCAGTTAAGAGTAACAGGTTTGTGTGTCTTTAGAGACCACAAAGGTAACATTAATGCAAAAGCAAGCCAGGTAAAAGAAAAATGTTAATAAAAGCGTAAATACAAGATTTAATTTGCCTCCCTCTTTAATCTGAGCATAGCAACTATATAAGCACAGAAAAAAAAAAGGGCCACTGAAACCAGCCTTGCAGCAAAGGAGGCAAAAGGGAGTAGTGAGCACCATGGAAATCAGAAGAGAGAGAGAGAGCATACCCAATCCAACGGGACAGAGAGTGGGGGTTCTCCATGCAGGTGCTGGATTGCTGTATTTCTGCTTTGTCAAGAGAACCTGCATATCCAGATTTTAATGTGAAGTCTCCTATTTTTTTTTCTTAATTTCTAATTGTGGTAAAACCCACATAACATAAAAATTACCATCTTAACCATTTCTGAGCATACAGTTCAGTAGTCTTAGTATGTTCACATTGTTGCGCAACCAATCTCCAGAATTTTTAATCTGGCAAAACTGAAACTCTGTATCCATTAAAAAACAACTCCCCATTCTACCCCTTCCCCCAGTCCCTGGCAACCTCCATCCTACTTTCTGTTTCTATGAGTCTGACTACTCTAGATACTTCTTGTATTCTGTAAGTGGAATCACAGAATATTTGTCATTTTGTGACCAGTTTATTTCACTTAGCATAATGTCCTCAAGGTTCATCCATGTTGTAGCATGTGTCAGAATTTTCTTCCTTTATGAAGCTGAATAATATCCTATTATATGTATATGCTACATTTTAGTTATCCAGTCCAACCACTGATGAACACTTGGGTTGCTTCCACTCTTGGCTGTTGTGAATAGTGCTCCCATGAACATAGGTGTGCATATATGAGTCTCTGATTTCAACTCTTTTGGGTATATGCCCAAAGGTGGACTTGCTGGCTTATGTGGTAATTCTATGTTTAATTTTTTGAGGCAGTGCCCCACTGTTTTCCATACCAGCTGCACCCTTTTACATTCTTACCAACAGTGCACAAGGGCTTCTCTTTCTCCACATCCTTGCACCTGATTTGTTAATGTTGCAACTAATTCAAGTTTGTATCAAGATACTACTCAAGCCACACAGTTCAGACAAAGTAAACAGTCCATAACCTGGAACTGTCCTGGGCACAGAGACAGATGTCCACAGGCCTCTGGAAGAATGCATGATCCTTGATCCCATCAGTAAGCAATGATTCTAGATGACCTCACTTGATAGGATGATGCCAGCACATCATGAAGCTTTGGATGGAAAAACCTCTCATCGCCCTACTCTTCTATGGAGAAGGACCTTGTATCATAATCTGACATTAATTTTTTTCTTCTCAAAAAAAATTTGATAGTAACAGGAAAAAGAAATCCAAGGAAAGTATTTTATTTCTGCGTGGATCTGATTCATGAATACCTGGCATTCCTGGTCAAGTTCATCTAAGAAGATAGTCTTCCTCCTAAGCAAATGTATATCACTCCCCTCTACGGTCTTTTGTGGATCTTGACTGAATTGTATCTCGCAGTTGAAACAGGGAAAATGCTGCCTCCCTAGTCCATTTCCTGCTTTTATTTTATGCCTAAAATTCATTTCTCAAATTATCTGAAGCCCCATAGTGATACAGCAGAGTGTTAGGTGATGGTTGTAAGTTTGGTTACTGGAGAAAAATGTGTAAAATTTAGTGTAATAAGGGACTAATAATCCTTTCTTCATCTTTTTATACATCTCAAAGTAGACTGAAATGCAGGACAAACACAAAAGCAGGTAGGGAATTTCAGTGCTTGTCATGTTCTGTCCTTTGTTCAGCTCCATGGAACACCTGTATTCCCAAGAAATAGCATTTGGATAGAGGAGCATTTGGAAAACTACCTAAAGGAATACATATATACAATTCTATTTGAGGACAGCTATAGGAAAAAGGTCTGTTTATGATTCAATGGGCTGTACTCATAGAAACGAGGTTTCTAAATCTTTAACTCATTCTTCCTTTAGGAAAGAGCCATATATAAAGTTGGGCTACTTGGAGATACACTGGATAGATCATGGATAAACATGATTACAGTATGCCACAGGAATTAAATCCTATAATAACCAATTCTGACAAGATGATTGCAAATATAATCATTTTTCCTCACTGGGGGGTCACTGCTATTGATATAGTTCCTCATTAGCCGTCCCCAGGTGATTCTGCATGGTAGGGGAGCCTCTTCGCTAACTTAAGAAAGGAAAGAAAGAAGGAGGAGAAGGAAGGGGTGAAGAGGGAAGGAGGAAATGCACATTTTAAGAACACTTAATGTAAGTGAGGCATGTGCAAAGTGCTTTAGATGTATTACTTTATTTATTCAGTACTCACAACAGCCTTGTGAGATAGGGTCTCATCTCTATTTTACAAAAAGAAAAACCTTAGTTTTTTAAGTCAGAGGTTAACTGACTTATCTAAGTCATACAGCTAGTAAGTGGCTAGTCTGGGATTCTATGCCAGGCTCAACGTCTTGGCATAAAACATCTTTGCTGAGATGGTTGGTGGGTCCCCAAGTTTACATAAACAAGACCAAGAAGATGGTGTAACCACCTGAAAATACTCAGGATAAATCTCTGCTCTTGGCAAGCACTCTGACACTGGCTTTTCTTCTATGAAAGACAGCATTTGTCCATATCATTTAGAAGGAAATCTAATACCTGCACGAAAACACAAGGAATGTTAAAGGAGCAACCTAAACTACTTGATACTAAGTTTTGAAGGCTGTCAGGTACTAACAGCTAGAACTTTTTCAGTGGAAGATAGATTTTCTTCTCAAGTACAGAAAAGCACAAAAATATATACAAATCCCAAAGGCAGTAGTATCAAATCGTTTGTTAGCCACCAGCAGTTTCGCAAAGATTATATCCCTCTACAGAAAATACCTTACGCTACTAGTTTTGCCCTTTAGATAGTTCAGAACAGCTGTCATGGAAGATTCCTCTAGATTAGGGTCTGCTTTCAAGGAAAAGAGGCTACAAAATGCACACTCCTGGTCTGTATGTTTAGGCAGAATTCAGTATTCACTTCTATAAAATTGTGGTTAGAGAAAGGTTTTCCACAGCTCATTGATATGCCCAGATCACTTGGATTGGGGGTTTATTTGGTTGTTTTTTTTATTTTGTTTTATTTTGGTTTAGTTTTTTTTTTTTAATTTTGTTTTGTTTTTAGGAGTAGTTAGAGTAAGGTGACTACAGTGGGGAAGAGAATAGTTTGATGTCCATAAAAAGGCACAGGGTTCTGTCAGGATGTTGTTTTTTCCACATCAACTTCAAGGACACAGAGGTATCTAACCCATCACTAAATAGAATCTAATAGCATAATAGTAGCCTTTAAAAAAAAAAAAAAGCCCAATTTCACTTGATGTCTCAACTATTCCTTCATGGAAAACTACTTGCTTTGGTTTTATTCTACTGTGACTGAGTATGATTTCATGGCCTTTCTAAACTTTCTATTAAGGAACAACATGGTAGGTGGAAGGATAATCCCCGAACCATAAAGACTTGGGACAATTTTACTGAACTTGAAACATTACCCTAAAACACATATTTACAGTAAAATCTGGGAAGGTGCAGGAAAAGCACTCATTTTCACTCTAAACTATTTTAAGTGGCAACAACACAACGTACTTACCAAAATTCTGCTTTGTCATGTCAGCTTTCTATCGTCCATTCATGCAGCAGCTTCACAAAATCACCCCGGGCTTCTGCATTGAATGCATGTGCCTACCTCATTGCTTTGAAATCAGTGCCATTCTAATCCAGCAGGATAATTTTACCAGTGAAGTCATCAGAATTTGTTAGGCCATCTTCCGTAGCTCTAGGAAGAGCTGTGTTTGTCAAAGTACCTTTAAATGTAAGGAATCTGAGTATACACATCAAATTGCATTTCAGCAAGACTTCTTTATGATTGTCCCCCATTTCATCATTATTTTTTCAACTCAAAACAACAAAAATTAATTTCACTTATGAGATTAGATTGGTCAATTACTTCAAAATCACAACGGTATCTGGTATCTATAAAGGATAGATACCTTTTATAGAGCTATCTATATAAAAAATAGATATCTCTTTAGAAATTTTGATGTCATTAGATGTTATTGCCTAGAGAAAAAAAAGTCCTTTCATTCACGATTTGTTCAAAACTAAGCTTGCAGCTTTGCAAAAAATATACTATTTACGTATAAATATATAATGTACAGCACCGTATAAGTTTAAAGTGTAAGTGATTTGACTTAACATATATTATGAAATGATGACCACAGTAAGTTTAGTTAACATCCACCAACTCATATAGATGCCAAAAAGAAAAAAGTGTGTTTTTTTCTCGTTTTTTTTTTTTTTTCCCCTTGTGATAAAAACTCCTAGGATCTCCTTAACAACTTTCAAATATGTCAGACAGCGGTGTTAACTATAGTTATCATGTTGTACACTGCGGACTTTTCTAAACACAAGTTCCTATTAGTTCAATGCCACTTTCGGCTTAGTAAATCATATATATGTGAACTTAAAAAAAATAGCCTGGACCCTTTCCCAAGAACTTCCCTCCACTGCATGCATTACTGCTGCCCCTTTTGGGATCATGAGCGTGAATTATTTTCATGGCTCTTGGCCATAGCCAAGACATCCTGAGCTTGCTTTCCATCCCTAATAATAATTATGTTCTATATAATAATTGTTATTATTATCCTTTCTCCTGAGTAGAAAAGTGACTGGACCAACCCAAAAGGATTGGACCAACCCAATAGGCTCTTCTTCCTCTGATCCAGATTTTCTTCTGTTGCAGATTGGATTTGAGGACCCTCCCCTCCAGGTACAGGCCGCAGCTTCAGGGAGTGGGAACGGAGCTGGTTCTGAGCCAGCCCGTCATGTCTTCTCCTTTTCCTGGTTGAACTCCCTGAGTGAATGATGTTCATTCCAGCTGCTGCCCTCTCTCTGCCTGGCTGAGATGCACACCAGCAGCAGGGAACCTAGGTGAAATTAACATGATACAGGTGATGAAAGGGACCTCTGAACAGGATTTCTGCAAAAAAAAGAAGAAACCCTTAATTCCAGATGACTTTCCAGAGGGAAAACAATTTTGAGAAAATAGTTGCTGAAAATATTGGAAAAAAAAACTTGACCTTATGCAAATCTTTTATTGTGTGGGAAACATTATGAAGAGTAGGTGTGATACATGTGTGTGTCCGTAACATGTGGCAAGTGTTAAAAAAGTGTGCACTACACTCTTGTCTCTAATAGGCATTGGCTTTTGTTATAATATCATAGTAGCTCTCTCTTTCTTCTTTAACATTGCAGTTGGTCAGTGAAATTCAGTGTTAATTCAGAAGTGACTGATTTATCAATATATGGACAAAAGGTAAATCATTGACCAAAGATATGAAACATTTTACAAAGGTTTCCTCTTTTCCATAACAGATGTCACTGAGGTATACCCAGAAATGTTCCTTAGCTCTGGTGACACTTCTTAGTCCAGAAGGCTGAAGGCCTAGGACATTTCTGGTGAATTTTTCTGATCTTAGTTAGATGTGCAGATATCAAGCACTTGAATTGAAAAAGAATTTCCAACAGGAACTATTTTCTTATGTATCTACTGAGGCACAAACCTGGTGAACCATAGAATAACTGTGTGTATTTAAATATCTATACACACACCATACCTATTTAAAATACATATATATATATATATATATTTAAATCATGATTTATTTGTCCCACCATAATGCCTCTTTCAAAAGTATTACTTTATTCTGTATGAACTCTTAAATAAATGCTGTTTTTAACAACTTAGTCTTATAATGACTTATTCAGTGTTTCATGTGATCTTATTAATATGTTAGTCAAGTGTATTCAAAGGGTCCCAAGGGAAGAAGCATCTTCATACATCCAAATTAATTTCGGAGTATTATGCATTCAACTGAATTTTTTTTAAGTTATAACTCAACTACCAAAGACAAAGGCACTGTAAAACTAATTTGATGTGCCTGTTCCATTTTCAAAATGCACAGTTTATATTCTTAAGAATTACAGTGATGAGGATTGGTATAGACATAAATGAGAAGAGCATTTGTGAAGTTATTAAAGTCAAAATATTTTTTATATAAAATATTTTCCCAAGTGCCATTTTGTGGCATTTAAATTCGTTGCTTTAAGTAGAGAAGCTATCAAGTTTCTCCTATTAAAAGTAGGCACTGAAAATAGCATAGAAAAAGTGTATCTTTGGTACCAAATAGTACCTTGATAAAGTGAGTCTTTCTCATACCAAAAACAAAAAACAAGCAGTGTTGGCCCTATAGTTTGGAGGAATGCCTTGCAAACCTTTCTCCTCTTTGCCTTTCCTCTTTCCCTGACCTCTACAATTATTTAACATTTTATAGTTAGTCAGGGTTAATTATTATTTCCATTATGAATTGATCTCCTCTTCATAGAATTATCAAGTCTTAAAGCTGGAAGAAACTTCCCAAATTATTTTAACTTAACCTCAGAGGTGTAATCTGAGGTACAGAGAGGCAATTGCAGTATCTGTGTAAGCCACTGGTGTATGTTTGTATTTTTAGTAGGAAATTAATGCAAGGAGTTTTGTTTTCTCTTGTGCTGAAGTCAGGGTGAAGAAAGCCAGTAGCTGAGAGCTTTACTCCTACGAACATGGAAAAGGAAAAATAAAGTCACCATTATCTTTGCAGCTTTTATTAAAAATATAAATATTCAACATTCTCTTACACAACCAAATTGACCAAGGATTGGAAAGATGTTTTATTACTGAAACGTTTACAAGGAAAGGTTGATTCAAAGAGCTTACAGATTTTGTTTCACCCACCCAAGAGAACGACATTCTCTTTGGCTCAGACCACAACAAAATAAATTGGGTGACTTCTGTCTGCTTCAAAACATTTCCTTCTGGGTCTATACTTTCTAAACACCATTAAAGACACCTGGAAATGGAAACTCAGAGTAGACAATACAAATAACATTTTGTTGCTGTTACTGCACGTGAATACACTTTGTGCATGCTAATTAAGGAGTATAGGCTCTCTCGCTGTATATCGGCTAGGCTTCAAGCTATAAAAAAATAAACAAATGGTATTAGAGCAACGCTATGATACAGAATACTGTATTATTTTAATTTTTTTTTCATTTTTTGTGTGTGCTAAATACTGCATCTTTTTGGCCAAACGCACCGTTTTATTTCCCAATAATCTCCATCAGTTTCCTGTTGCTGTGAGCTTGCTGCGCTAACTGCTCAGCCCTGGCCATTTCCAAGACTTCTCGTAAGAGGTGGAAGGTGAGATCCAGCGAGATGGGAGGTTCCTCGGATCGCCTCTCCCTCTCCGGTGTCTCCTGGCGGCTGCCGAGGGCGTTCTCGGCTCTGCGCTCGGCGGGACCTGTGGGGCTGTCGAGCGGGCGCCGGGGCAGCGGCAGCTGCTGCAGCAAAGCGCGGAAAAAGTTGGCGGCCGCCTCGTCCGGCGAAAGGCGGCTGCCGCTGCCGCCAGCGACAGGTGAAGAGGCGGGCAAGAGGGGAGCAGCGGGGCTCTTGTTGAGGTTACCCAGGCGGAGGAAATATTCCTCCCCCATGCGAAGCAGGACGGGCCGAGCCTGTGGCTGTTGGGGCTGCTGGGGCTGCGGCGGCAGCTGGAAGAAATCCAGGGGCTGGGGGTGCTGCGGGGCCTGCCGGGCGCCGGGCATGGGCCCCCGGCTGAGGAGGGCCCTGCATGGCGGGCAGGGCAGGAGAGCCACCAGCAAGACGCCCGCGGACAAGAGCAGCGGCAGCCGCATGGTAGGGGCGCTCGCTGCGGCACAGAGGTGGGCGGAGAGCGGAATGAGAGAAGGGAAGAGAGAAAGAAAGAGTTGGTCAGAGTTTAGCTCAAATGGGAGGTGCGCTTGGGGTCTTTCTACCGGATACACACAGACGTGCCTCGGGGGTTCAGGCAGGCACTGTCCGCGGTGCTGAAGCTCTCGAACTAGGACTTCTAGAGTTGGGCGTGAGCTTGGGGGAGGAGGGGTTTCAGGAAAGGGGATGCCTACAGGGCTCAGCACTAAGCTCAGCCCCTCGTCGGGCTGGATTGACCCTTCTTCCGAGACCTTCGAAGGGTCTCTGAGCCCTTTCTAACGATCCCCAAAACTGATTCCCCGAACTCTAGAGAAGATCTACAAATTTTATATCTCACCCCTACCCCCCGCCCTCTCCGGATCTTTCAGCGTTGTCCTCCAAATTGAGAACTGCTGCCTCCTCCTCCTCTTTCTCCATCCCAGCCCTTGCGTCCTTCTCTCGGGGGTCGAGATCGATGGTGGGGACTCGTCTACAAGGCCAGCGAGGAGTAACTGGTAGCAGCCGTCTAAGTTTGCTTTTGACACATCCCGGCTACTACCGGAATCTTGAAGCACAGTCAGCAAACACACACACGCACACACACAGGCGCGCACACACTCGCACTCACACACATACTCTCAAAGGGACACCCGGCTCCGCCGCGCACACCATGGCAGTTTAGGCAATGCAAAGTTGGAGGTGCGTTTCCGTCTAAGAGCTCCCTACCTTCAGAGGTGCTTCTGCAGGTGAGTGGGGCGCTGCCGCCTCTCTGCAGAGGGACGTCTGCGGGGCTTTTTCAGGGGTTTTCTTCCCTTCGCCTTTCTGTCCTCACTCTCTTTTTCTTCCCCTCTTATCTTTCTCTTCAGTCTCTCAACGGACTTGGGCTCTGAGTTTCTCCACACCAGAGCCTGGAGTGGGATTTTATAGCGTCGACCCTCTTCAGAAACCACGCAGCATTTGCCTAATAAGCTGACGCTCTCTTGACAGCTCAATTGCGTGCTGCCTCTGCTCCTGCATAAATCATAGGGCCCTGCCAGAGAACGAGGGGCAGAGTTTTGCTATCTCAACACTGAATCTCACATCCAATTATATCAACAGATATTTATCGCCTCCTTGGTGACGTCAACGAGCCCTAAAATGGAAGGGCTTCTTATGACTTGTCCATTGACAAAAATTCTTGAATGAGATTTCCCAAGTGTGAAAACATACTGATCTCTTACTATGAAAGGTTGAATTTGGGGTCAGAAGGACATCGAATGAGAGGGGAGGGAAAAAGAAAGTGTGAGGGACAGGAGGTCTATCAATGCACAGTCCTATGGAGAAAGCAGCAACCAGTTCTAAGGGTTGGATCTGGATCCTCCTCTTTCCTCTCCCTCCTAACTTCTCTGACCAGTTGTCTCTGGCAACACCTCAGTATCTGAAAATAATACTTTGCTAGAGACAGGTGTTGCATCAACTTCCTGCCTGGTTAAGAATGATGAACAAGGAGATAGGATTGTGGGGATATCTAGCTTTTAAGCCTCTAACTGCTTTTTCTTCCCAAGAGTAAATAAAGGAATTATGAGTCTGCAGAAGCAAGACCAGTAAGTCTCTTGAAATGAGGCTCAAATTTTTTAAAAATGATTGGCAGGAGCTGCTTTCCATAATGAAGTGGCCCAAACTAGGGTCAGTTGGGGATGTAGTGAGATTTTAAATTCCCCCAGAATTTCACTGCTCCCTCTTTGTCTCTCCTGTCAGAATCCAAAATTAATAGTGGATTTTCTTATTCTCAAATTAGAGAGAGAAAGGATTTGTGAGAGGTGCATGAGTTATACAATCTTCATTTGGTCTACCTGATGCAAACCCAATGAAAGAAGAAGCATTTATTCTAACTTCCGGTTTTATATTGGGAAAGGCTCAAACTGCCTGATAATAGGGCTGAATTCATCACCTGCACTTGTCATTGATGAATATTGAGCCCATAAAAAGGTAATCTCATTCATTTTATTTCTAAATACTATTAACATCCATTATAGTATCCAACAGGGACACCCAGATTGTTGTTGGTTTTTTTCTTAATCATCTTTTTTTCCAAATTTATATGCA